GTGGGCAATTGTCTTTCATTAGGGACTTAGTGGAAACTAGGCAGCAGGTCTGAGGAAAAAAATATAAAGGATCAAAATAGGTTACTTTAGACTTATAAGAGAACATAAGTACTTACTGTACTGCCTGCTTGTTCTTCCACACAGAGAGTTGTAGAGTGCTGGAGGCAATCATACCTAACTAAACAGTGTTCCTACAGGTCAAAGCACAAGTTTTATGCTTTCTTACTTCAATTGTGCAAGTACCATCTGGTTCACCATTTTGACACGGGCTTTTAGTAGTCACCTCTGATTGCCCAGTTCTACCCCACTGCCCTGGGAATCATTGCCTGGCACTACCATCTTCAAGGCAGCCCAAATAAGATTCAGAAAACCTCACCCACTACCTGAGGGCTCGTGGTTCATTTCATTTCACCCCTCTGCTGTCATCTTTAGTTCCTCCAACAACAGGAGACCAGATCGCTGAACTCTGAACTTTATTTCATGGCCAAATTTTAGTTCAACGTTTAGCAGCATTTCGTGTAACCAAAGCCACAAAGTTGTACTTGAAGAAAAAAGAAGTATTTTATGTAATCCGATAGTTCCATGTAACATCAAGCATATTCATGATGCTTATGGAAATCTTTTATTTTATTGCCCATCCTTTTATTCCCATAGTGCGGTGTTCCTACCTATTCTTTATTTTCATATCGCACTATGGCCCCTATATAAGATGCTGCTGGTATGCATGGAACATTAGGACTTGCTATGTTGCTAATTTGGTCTCTTTCCTGGCATGCTGCTATCTGGCTAAAGCCAGGATGAGGACAGAATGTTTGACCAGATGTTTAATCCCATTCTGATGCATGAATCACCTTTCTACTGCTGCAGACTGAGTCTTGCACAATGTTTTCAGCAGGCACAAAAGATATCCACTAACTGAACATCCTTTCATTTTCCATTCCTAGAACAGCCAGCTGACTTTTTTCTGTCCTCCTTCATTAGTGGCATAACAACAAAGCTGTCCTGTCCATGTTTTGCCAAGTCCTGAAGAATGACAAGATACATGTACAGGGTAAAACTTGCAACTCCCTCCATCTTAGCTGATATGATGTTCTTCAGTGGCCCTTTACTACCAATCAACAACCATTATGTGAGGAATTGGTGACTTACCCTACCACACAATAGCTACACTTAAGTTCAAGAAAGAGTTAATTCTTAGGCCTACTTTGTGGTAATTTCCAAGAACAATCTTTGCATGGGTAAGAATGTGCTCAACAGCCAGGTAAAAAATCTCTCTCAGTTACCATTGTTAGTCCTAGGCTGAATTAATGTACTATTACCAATTCACAATCTTTGGCCTATGTTGCCAAAGCAAACTGGGATGGACACCTACTCCTCTACAAGTATTGCTGGCTGCAATATTTTAGCCTGCTGTTAAGGTATGGTCACAAATTTTTGACGTATTGAACAATTTCAAACAGCTGCCTGTGTCTTCTAGAAGTTGGCAAGGCAACAGTAATCATTGTTGACCCTAAACATCACCTCTTTCTACTAGTGGTTCTATGCCAGATACATCCACCACCACAGACTGGCAGGGATCCAACACCATGCAGGATGCAGCCATAATATGTTCATGCCAAGATTTGACTGTTCAAAAATCCTGCACCTGGCAGGACAGAATACAAGTGCTGCTACCATGCCTTCCATCTCTTGCTCTGTTGCCAACTGAGGCTCTCAGTATACTAATAACTGCAGCCAGAAGCAAGTCCTTGGCGGTAGCTCAAAGAGTGATGACTGGTCATCATCCTGACTGTTACTGGTTTTGAAATGGTGGCAGTTCTCTGGTGGTTGGTATTGATGCCAGCCTCATTTCCTCCGTGAGAGGAGTAGAGCCATTTTTCGACAAATGAAACTGATTGTGAGTGCTTGAACATTTCCATGTTGACTCTTCTCTGTTGCACCATGGCATATTCCTCTCCTGAATATAACTCACAAGAAGCTACCAAACTTACACCCACCTAGGTTACTTCATATCCATCTTGAATTTTGAATTAGTTGTTCAGTATTTTTTTTTCTTGCAATTTGAATGTGGAACCAGTGGTATGGCACTTTTCATGGCTTCCTAACATTGCAATGGATTTTTGCTATCTATTGTTGATACAACTTTTTCATCTGTGACCAGCCCAACAACACAACTCCTGGCAATATCAAGAATCTCATGACAAAGATCAGCTGGAACTCAGTGGAAGCTAGGAGCGTAGAGAATGATATTGCCATTTTGCAGCTTCTTAAAGTCTTCTGAAAAAAATGAAAATTGAAAAAGTATTCAGATAGGATACAAACAGTTGTAGCTGTGAGTTAGCCAAGGAACTTCCATGCTCCCCCATAATCAGCCTGTGAGAAAAAAATATGTGCTGTACACCTTCCAACTAAATGGAAGAAATTAAAGAACACTTTCCATTCTCAGCTTCCTTCACAATCACATCTTAGTAGTCACCAGGATCTCACTTATACTTATGCCCTAACCTGTTGCTTTTTCTTCACTGCAGTTGCAAAATGCAGAAAAAATCAGACCTGTTGCTCTTGATTCTCTTGTATCAAGAGTTTATTGCTATGATGGTTGGTCCAATATTCAACCAGTGATGCTGTAATGGATGACTGAGCCAATTGAGTATGCTGGCAACCAATGCATAAAAGGAAAGGATAGTGTATAGTTCTAGGAGAAATACTCTAGTCAGCAAAGGTAGCATTGCCCAGAGAAAAAGAGAAATTGGAACAAGTGATATATCATTGTTTATGTTGAAAAGGAACCATTGTCCCCAAAGAGTGGTCTGTTCCCAAATGAAAATAGATTCTGGAGTTCAGTGGTTAACTGAATTCAGCATTCAGGAATTAGGATTGCCTAAAGCTCTGACCATTTACAGCCATTTTTTATTAACATTACATTTTATTCAGTATAAGGCTCTTTAGATGCTGATTTCCATATTGTAATTCAGTTCTTGTAAATGTTTGAAAATTCATACAATTTGGAATTCAAGAACTGCTTAGGACAATAAAGAATTAAAAAATGGAATTGTGGAACTCCACAAATGAAAGGGCTTTGGGACATGCTAAATGTGTATTTTACTGAACAGTGAATAATCACAGCCAATCCATGCATGTATGGCAATAATGATAGCACAGTCTTAAATCTAGCTAGGTCTGGCTTTAGCAATTAAATCACACACCAGAATATGTTACTCACTCCTGAACTGAATTTCTATTTACATATTTTTAGTAGGCAGAGGACAATGGCTCTCTTTGCTCAAGTGATTTCATGCTTAATAGCATCATAGACATTGTTGAGGAGATAAAAAGTGAGTCCTTATAATGCAGTGGTGGGATTCAAAATTTTTTACTACTGGTTCTGTGAATGTGGCTTGGTGGGAGTGGCTTGGTGGGAGTGGCTGGGGGAGGATACTGTAAAATCTCAATTCTGTCTCCTCTTCAGGGGAAGGATAATGTAAAATCCCCATTCC